TTGTTTCTGCAATATCGATTCCACACTAAAAACTTGGGTAAACTTAGGTATTTCTTGGATATTGAAGTTGCTAGATCCAAGAAGGGTATAAGTATATCCCAACGAAAATATGTGTTGGATTTATTAGAAGAAACAGGTATGTTGGGTGGTCGCCCAGTTGATGCTCCTATGGATTCGAATACAAAACTTGTGTCTGATGAGGGTGATCTATTTAATGATCCGGGCAGATTTCGTCACCTTGTTGGGAAATTAATTTATCTCACTATCACTCGACCTGATATTTCATATGTAGTTAGTGTTGTAAGTCAGTTCATGGGAGCTCCTAGAATACCACATTGGATAGCTGTTCTTCGGATTATCCGATATCTCAAGCAAGCTCCAGGTGTTGGGTTACTATATAAATCAAATGGTCATCTCAGGGTGGAAGGTTTTACAGATGCCGATTGGGCTGGTTCTCCTTCAGATAGGAGATCTACTACAGGCTACTGCACATTTGTAGGAGGAAATCTTGTTACATGGCGAAGTAAAAAGCAAACGATGGTAACTCGATCTAGTGCTGAAGCTGAGTATAGGGCAATGGCCCATACTACTAGTGAGTTGACCTGGATACAACATTTTCTAAAAGAACTTGAATTGACAGTTGAAGCTCCTACTCCATTGTTCTGTGATAATCAAGCAGTAGTTCACATTGCCTCAAATCCTGTGTTTCATGAGAGGACCAAACATATTAAAGTTAATTGTCACTTCATTCGAGAAAAGATATTACGTGGGAGCATCTCTACTCCATTCGTGAAGTCTGAAGATTAATTAGCTGATATGTTTACCAAAGCATTGGGTCATAACCGGTTAAAGACTATATGTTCTAAGCTGAGATTATTTGATATATATTCTCCAACTTGAGGAGGAGTGTTAGAATGTTATATATATATATATGTGTTGGGCCATTATGTAATTACATAATGTTAGTAGGGCCTTTGTGTTATTAAGGTGACTTGTATCCTTTAAATATAGTACTAGTTCTCTCTCTCTTTCTCTCTGTCTCTCATGATTAAGAACAGGCATCAAGGAACTTATCATTTTCTTCCTTCCAGACCCCAGTCAGTCACTTTCCTACGGCGCAACATCCTGCTCATGGTTTCCTCACTACTTCGCCATCCATGGTTCTTCGTCATTCAGACACACACACATAAAAATGTGTGTTAACAAAGGAAATACATGAACACACAGATAGGTGTTCCTATGTGTGGAGTTCATTAACTTATCATTTCCTGCACTACACCCTCTGCATCAAAAAGACCAGTTTTAAGTGCATGCCTACAAATGATAAACTACTTATCCAGTCTCACTGTTACAGATTTAACAAGAATATGATAATATAAACATGTACTTTTCCACACACGTACAAAACAAAACATGCAGTATTTAGCTGATGGCTGCCTTGTGAAATGGTTTACAAACTATTCTACTAATAAGTTTCTTACCGACTGTAAAAAGTTTTTCTAGGCACTATCATCTCCATTAACACTATGATGATAACTAAACAACATTTAATCCACACAAGGTGTTTGGCCTGTAAAAATGGTTCGTTTTGATGGAACCGGATGGGCGTGCCAGGAGCTGCTGTGGTTCCAAAGAAAGATCCAGACAATATTCCAAAAGAAAGATTGCAAGACCAGGCGATTGTGAAGAGGTCTGGAATGAACATCTCTGGGTTCTTTTTGCCTTTAAAAAAGGACTTCGGGACTACTATTTGGCTAAGGAGGAATGAACTACTTATGAAAGTAATTGACTAAAATGTAAAATAATCTAATGTAAAGTAAAGAGCAGGACTTAGGCTAAACATATTGAAATTGCATTGCAATGAAAAGAGAATTTGTATTGAAATGTTGTATTTGTTGTGTGTGTTGAACAAGCCTTCTAAGTAACAATAGCATGCCCTATTTATAGAATTTAGTAATGGTAGTTAGCATATCCCATGACTTTCTACTTGCATGTAACCGTTCGCTTCCTTGGTTGTCACGTGTCCCATGGCTTTCCACTTGCATGTAACCGCTAGCTTCCTTGGTTGCCACGTGTCCCATGACTTTCCACTTGCATGTAACCGCTCGCTCCAAGGTGGTTCCTTCACTAAATGGCTTTCTTAGATGAATCCACGTGTTGCTTTATGATTGCACCCACGTTTGCATATCACCCTTCCATTGAAATCGGCCATAACAACTTTCCATTGGAAAGTGACCAATGATTATGGTGCAAATAGTTATAGTTGTGGCTCTTTTATTAAGCCACGTGTCCACCTTGGATTGGTTTTTAGCCAAAGTCTTTAGAAGATAATGATTTCCACTGAAATGTCGTAGTACCTTCCATTGGAATCGACCAGGGCAATCCTTCTGCTGGAAAGTGGCTGATAATTATGTGTAAACAGAATTGATATATGGCAAGTCTTATGTAAAACTCGCCACGTGTCAACTAGTCATTGGCTGAAATACAGGGTGTAAACATTGTCCCCCAAATTTGATGTGCCAGATATTCTTTGAAGAATTGTAAGGCATATCAAATTTTAGATATGAGTGAGAATTTGCCATGTGATATTCTTGTTTGTAAGGAATGAAACAACTTAAACCTTTTCAACCGGAATGTACCATTGGGCCGAAAGCTTTAATTAGCTTATTAACTAGGACGAAAGTTGTAAGCTTAAGGATTTGAAGACTCACGTCCAATTTCGTTGTCCCCCGAGGTCTAAAGGCTTACAAGGAGGACGAATTTGTACATCTTCTGGCCAAACACATAGTTAATTGGCCAAGTTTTGCACCCCAAAAATCACAAGATGTGAATTTGGGATAAATAAAGTACTAGCATTTTTTTCCAAAATTGGAAGAAAAATACTATGACGTTTATATTCTTTAGGTGGAAGAATATACAACGATTGAGAAAATTTTGCCGTTTCCAAAAGAAAATCTGACTGTGAAAAATCTTCTTCCAATGGAAGAAGTGGTAAGCTTCCTATGGAAAGGTTTGTCGATCTTCTTCATGGACAAGCCACAGTCTTGCCGGGAGAAGTCAACAAGTCGGCTATGATCAAGTACCATAGGTTGGGGTCATGAAATTGTATTTTCAAACCAACCTTTGGGTAGGTTGGCCATTGGATGCCCCCAAACACCACTAGAATTGGGTTTAGGTCTGCCAGAAAAATACTCCTCCGACGGATTGGATTTACACCTTGATTAGGAGGATCCCTCGATAAGGTTTGCCCCCCACCTGCCATAGGAAAAACCTGAGACAACCTTTGAGGTATGGTAGGAGGTGACTGAGCATTCTGTTGAGTAGTATTGGGTGGAAAATACGACTGATTTCCTGACTGACCACGTGAGCCGTACCATACTGTGTCACTGGAATGGGCATTGATTGTGTAGGTGGCACCTGCACTGTCCGCACCTGCGGCATGGTATGCACATATTGATTGAAAGGGCTACCCTCAACAAACATACATGGCCTGTTCACCGGAATGGCCAATTGTTGAGTACCTTCTGAATTGCTTGGCCTAATGCCCAAGCTTTGAGAAAGACTTGCAAAATACTGATTAAGCATAATTAACTGGTCAAACATACGCTCCGTCTTTCGGTCTTATGCATGAACGGCTTCCATGATAGGTTTGTTTGTCATTGCTTCGGCGAACTTTGTAACCATATTATCTTCTTCTTTAGGAACGACATGTGAACTATCATCTGGAAGTTCACTAGCCTGCTCCCCTTCAACCTCGGCAAGATCTTGCAAAGACTTGCCGTGTCTTTTCCTCCCGCCATGGAAACACTCCGTTCAGAAGGTCCTGCCAGGCGTGCCACTATGTTTGGCTTGTAAAAATGGTCGGTTCCGATGGAACCGGATGGGCCCGCCAGGAACTGCTGTAGTTCCAAAGAAAGATCCAAACAATATTCCAGAAGAAAGATTGCAAGACCAGATGATTGTGAAAAGGTCTGGAATGAACACATCTGGGTTCTTTTTGCCTTTGAAAAAGGACTTCGGGACTGCTATTTGGCTAAGGAGGAATGAACTATTATGAAAGTAATTGACTTGAATGTAAAATAATCTAATGTAAAGTAAAGTGCAAGACTTAGGCCAAACATATTGAAATTACATTGCAATGAAAAGAGAATTTGTATTGAAATGTTGTATTTGTTGTGTGTGTTGAACAGACCTTCTAAGTAACAATAGCATGCCCTATTTATAGAATTTAGTAATGGTAGTTAGCATGTCCCATGACTTTCTACTTGCATGTAACCGCTCACTTCCTTGGCTGCCACGTGTCCGATGACTTTTCACTTGCATGTAACCGTTCGCTTCCTTGGCTGCCTGTCCCATGACTTTCCACTTACATGTAACCGCTCGCTTCCTTGGCTGCCATGTGTCCCATGACTTTTCACTTGCATATAACCGCTCGCTTCCTTGGCTGCCATGTGTCCCGTGACTTTCCACTTACATGTAACCGCTTGCTTCCTTGGATGCCACGTGTCCCAAGGTGGTTCCTTCACCAAATGGCTTTCTTATGATTGCACCCATGTTTGCATATCACCGTTACATTGGAATCGGCCATAACAACTTTCCATTGGAAAGTGACCGATGATTATGGTGCAAATAGTTATAGTTGTGGCCCTTTTATTAAGCCATGTGTCTACCTTGGATTGGTTTTTAGCCAAAGTCTTTAGAAGATAGTGATTTCCACTAGAACGTCGTAGTACCTTCCATTGGAATCGACCAGGGCAATCCTTCCACTGGAAAGTGGCTGATAATTATGGTGTAAACAGAATTGATATATGGCAAGTCTTATGTAAAACTCGCCACGTGTCAACTAGTCATTGGTTGAAATATAGGGTGTAAACACAAGGTCCTACAATTATCAACAATTTTGAGTCCCATTGGAATTCACCCAGTTGACCAATTACACCCTTATCTTTATTATTAAATTAATTTATATGTTCAATAGGTAGTTAAATAGTACAGTCAAGAGTGAATTACAATCTTAGGGAGATAACCCTGTAGAATGTATGAACCTCACTAAAAAAGCATCCTCTACATTACTCTCCAAACATAAGAAAACTAAATGTTGCATCAGGTCCTCCATTCACTTGGTGATTTTGGTAAACACTCTGTATTTGTTCTACTTCAGTAGTTTGATGAGGACTATCCATACTCAAACAAACTATATTGACACCTGAAAGGTTTTATGCAAAGTATCCATCAGATATAAGATAAAACAACACCTGAACAACAAGAGGATTGCCTTCCCAGAGACAATGCTTGCTAGTCAATAATTGAAGCAATGGAATGAATCAAGAGTTCTTTTTTCAACAATATTTTTTTTATAAACAAGAGTTAAGCGGAAAATATGGAAAAGATACACTTAAGGATTTATTGTTTACAAAAAAGAAACCAATGAAGCACAATTATAAAGAAATTTACGTTCCTAAAAAATCATACTATCTTGAAACACCCTGTCTCCTGGGGTGAAGGTTGGAAGTGAAGATTATGAAATTACCTGTTGACCTTAATGACTCCATCCAAGGACAATTTAGAGGTTTTGATGATAACAAACCATTAATTGTGTTTAAGGACTAATGTTTACATTGAGTGCTATATAAATTATTCACATTCAAAGAAAAACCTCAATGAAGCTATAGAGATCATTCCAAGTATTCCATTATTCAAGATCACATCTATGGAAAGCAAAGGAGACAAATGAACATGAAGTTGCAAGGAACCAAATGCAAAGTCCATCCAAAGATAGCTTGGACTACAACGAACAAGAAAGCAACTTAAAGAAAGGAAGAAAGCGAGACTACCTGAAAGCCTACACGATCATGGACAAAGCATGAAGAAAGGGGTATATAGGATGGTGAGTTTTTAGAATTCAATGTCAAAGTATTTATGAATCCATTTGAAGCTCATCTCTATAGAACCATGCATATCATATCATCATTCATATGCTCCTATATTCATTAGTAATAGACTATGTGTAATGACCCGGTCATTTTCATTCCTTTCCTTCGTCCTTTCATTTTACGGATGAATTTTTTTTCATTGAAATTTCTTTTCTGGGTTCAATTTCTTGTCACTTAGTGTCGACTCGAGTGCTCGGAAATGGTTTCTGAGACTTTTTTTCTTGGGATTGACAACTTCCTTTAAGGACCGAGTCATTTTCACATTTTTCATTTTTCGTCACTATTCACTTTTGTCTTTTCTCGGTTTCCATTTTTCCTTGCATAACCTCACTAATTATGTTCGGATTTGATTGCGGTTTTGCATACGTCCATGATATTTAAATTTCATGACATCTACATTTTTACTATTGTAGAAATGCATATTTAATGCTTACTTTCTTTGTAAAAGTTATGAAAACAAGACTTTTTGTAATTATCTATAACTTGAGGGGTTTTTGGGTAATTAAGTAAAGTAATTATTTTTTGTCTTAGGGACTATTTTACAAATTAAATTAGAAGATATTTTCAAAAAGGACCTTTTTGCAATTTCCGAAAAATGTGACAAGTGTCACATTCCTATGGTGCCACTTGTTGATTTTGAGGTGGAACCACATGGAGGCTTAATCTCATGACACATGGAGAGTGGAGATTCATCCACTTGTTGACCTAGGATTGGACCACTAGTTGACTTGGATGATTGACAAGTGTAGGCTTAGAATTAATTCTAGAAGGGAACCTTAGGATGATGACAAGTGTAGGGCTCACAATTAGTCTTGCATTTTGTGTGTATGTTGACCATGGTGTAGGTTCACCTAGTGAGTGGAGGACCTCTAAATCCTCCACTCACATTTCATCTTTTTCATTTTCACATTATCCTACACATAAGAACCCTAGACTCCATTGAAGAAAGCTTAAAACCTTAAGCTTTGACTTTAAATTTTGAGGCCCTTCCACTCACCTTAGATCATTGACCTTGGAATACTTTTTGTTCCTCTCCTCTTCTTCTACAAAACCCTTATTTGGTTTTCCATTTTTAAGCTTGCTTCCCTTGGATTCAAGAGGAACAATCCTCTTGTGAGGTAGGGGGAGTTATCATTTATCTTCCAAGTGATTTTATTTGTTCCTATAGTGATATCTAAGTTATATGTTTGTCTTGTATCAAAATGAGAAATAAATGATTAATTGTAACTTGTATGTAATTCACTTTAGACTTGATAAATAACATGACCATGGCTTGATTCATAACTTATGTTAATTTGAGGTCATTTAGAGTTGTTTTAAAATCTAGAGGGATTAATGAATTACTTTAATTAATTTTTATTTATATGCTCCTATGACTTAAATCAAGTTTTGAAATGATTTATATAATAACCATGACATGTACTACAACATATATTAAATTTGGGGCATTTGGATAAGAATTGCAAAATTTATTTAATATTTATCTTTGGTGAAAGTTTAATTCATATGTGATAGCAAGCATGAAATCATGATGTAATGTGATATTTGGATAGACCTTGGCATGTTCTCTTACATAGATTAAATTGAGGGCATTTGGAATTGTTTAAAAATCTAGAGGGAATTAATTAATTAGTTTGATTAATTTTGTTTTAAGTGTTTTAATCACTTAACTTGTCATTTGATGTTATATATGTGATGACCATGACATGCCCTTCAATATATATTAAATTGAGGTTATTGGGGTTAACTTGGAATTTAGAGAATTTAACTATTTATGTTTAATTAAATTCTATTTTATTACTCCATGGATTTAATTGCATTTTGGAAATTGTTTTTATATTTAAATCATGGATTTGGATTTGGTGTATGTTCACTTGATTACTTTTGAGCATTGGATAACATAGTTGTTACTTTTATATTCATGAGAATATGTTTTTCCTTATTGAATAGATTGTTGCCATGTGTAAGGAATTGCATACTTTGTATTTGATATTTTTCATGCCATAGTAGTTGTAGACTTTGAGCATGTATTGTATAAGTTTCCAAAATTGGATTGTGCTTGGTAAATAGTTGATATCTTGTATATACATGTTGATATATATACGTTGTTGCACAATTTGTTGATTTTGGAAACTTGGGGATGTCGTTGTTTGGCTACGGCTAGGACTTGGTTCTAGTACGGGGGATTGTCCCTCTATATAGTCTAGTGCGCACATAGGGAGGTTACCCATGGGCTAGTAACCCTAAAGTAACCACATTGTCGGTTTGATCCGGCGTGACGTCCAAATAACCACTTTGGTTTGATTTCGCATTTAAATTCCAAGTTGTTAACTTTGTGAAATTACATCCCATTGTATCATGTTGAAAGTTCTATTGTCACTTGATAGCATGAATTAAATGGTATTGGATTGTAACTTGGTACAAAGATAAACCCATGCAATCCCTAAGAGTAAACTTGTTTACTCACCCCTAAGTTAATGGGTGTTTTGCAGGTAAAGAAGGCTTAGTGTGGGATGCACAGCATTCTTAGACTTTACTAGAGTTCTTGAAGTATTTTGATAACATAGAATATGCATATGTTAGCATATCTTGTCCTACTTTTGCTTACTTTGATAAAACTTGTACTTATTGTCTAAGTTATGTAATGTGCACTTAAGTGCACCTTTTGACACTCTTAGAATGTGATTGTAATGAGGCCAAGGGCCAAAGACAATTATGTGAAATGTATGCTAACTTTGAACTTCATTGTTGCCAATGGAAGATATGTGGATTAATGCATTGAAGGGTTCTATTTTGCATATGGCATGCCATGAGGCCATAGGCCATTGCAACACATCTATTTTATCACATTACATATGCTTGCATGCTTACTTTGGCAAACAACACCATCCTTGATGAAACAAAGACTCTAAGTAGCATTTTTAGGGAGTTTTACCCTATTCTGTTCCAGGGGCATTTCGGGTATTTCAAAATGCGTTTTTTTCATTTTTCCTCATGAGTCACGTAGAAAACTCAATTTTGAGGGGGGTTTATTCTTTGTGTTTTTCCAGAAAATGCCATCTTGGCCCTCAAAAATCTTTTTTTTTTCCAAAAAATCATTGCTGCCAGGTTTAGTGCAAATGTCCTTGGTACTATTCATCGACTTTTTTTTGAAAAGTGTGACGACCGATCCGAAACTTCCGGGGGTCTTGTGGGTGTATTTTAAGATTGCATTTTCAATTTAGGCAATTTAAAAACCTTCCGAAGCCCCATTTCCTTTCTTTGGGCAGTAACTTGGAACGATTTTTGACCTCTAGACCTGATTTTCTTGAGGGTATTTTGGACATTTTACAATGCAATTTTTTTGTTTCCGTCCGCAATCGGGGTAGGAAACTTGATTTTAGGGGGGGTTTCTTCTTTAAGTTTTACCAGAAAAGTCCGTTTAGATGTCCGTTTTTACTCTCAGTTGCAGCAGTAGTGGGTTGACGGCACTGTAGCTGTCACGGCCTTCGTCGGGCCACCGCGACGTCGATTTTGTTTTTGACTTTTCTCCCTTGTCCGGATTCCAAATCAAGTGATTTTTTTTTTTTAAATTGATTAATTTTTCATTTTCTATCCAATGGTGTGCTCGGTTACACCCGATATTTCTGGATAATTACTAGTTTACCCCTTTAGCATTATTACTCGTTTTTCTTTGTTTTTTTGTTTCTCCCTCGTCCGGACTCCGAATCATGAGATTCTTGAGTTCATCTCGATTAGTTTTTCATTGTCTTTCCAGCGGAGTGCTCGGTAATACCCGAATCTATATTTTTTTTTTCCAGAAATGACCATTTTGCCCTTGGGGCTATTTTTGTCCGATTTTCTTGTAATTCGTTTTCGCTACTTTCTTTTGAGTTCCGTGACTTCACGGGAAGTCATGGATGTGTCTCGAGAACAATTTACATTCTAGGGACGTCATTTCTATGCAAAATAACTATTTTGCCCCTGGGAACTTAATTTTCATATTTTCGATCTTTTGCTTCCGCATCAGTTCTCATTGAGTTCCACAACCTCATGGAAGGTCACTTTGACTTCTTAGAGTCTTGTTTTCTGTTTTCGCTTCCGCATATCGGATCCGTTATCAGGTCATCTTTTAGTCATCACTGACGCACCGGGTTTACAAAACTTGGGCCGTCACACTATGCACTTCATTCATATACAATTGACTTATGGAGTCTTTGCTAAAGAGTGAGTTAGTTCAAGCTTGCATAAGCTCTGAAAGAACTCATCACTTGTGTTAGAAATGCTAAGACCATGCACATCAATCATATAATTCATATTGGTCAACAATTAAGGCATGAAAAACCTTCATTACCATGAGTTGGTAACGGACATTAGACTCCAAAATGTGCGTTATGAAAAACTGTGTTTTTTACTGAGTGTGAAAAATGGATTTTTGAAATAATAATTATTTCAAAATAATTTTTCTCAGTAATAACTCTTTATACTTAAACTAACCTAAACTGATTTTATTAGAATTTTTGACCAAGTCTACATTGGTTTACATACGGATTCATTTTTACCAAAACTGTCGAAAATCCAAATTTGTACTAAAACTGAATTTCTACATTTTTAGTTGGATTTCAATTTTCTAGTATTTTTTATTGAATCCAAATGGGGGTACTTCCTTATTTACTTAAATGTTTTCAATGGAAATAAGGTCTGTGCAGATGTCCTGTGTTAATCTGTCCCATCTGTTAACTTAGAACACAACTTATGAAGCAGCAGTTTCATTTCAGCAGACCGAAATGCATAGGCAAGTTATTTTGGATGACCGAAATAGAGAGTGCAAATGAATCAGCTCGTCTGATTCTCACAGAACGTTTTGGAACAAAGGAAGAAGGAGTTTCGGTCGACCGAAACAAAAGGAAAATTATTTCGGCCTACCGAAACAGGAATGATAGCCAACCTTGAACTATTTCGGACGATCGAAACACAATGGTGTTTCAGTTCGGTCGACCGAAACTACCCAGATTCGAATCTGAACGGCTATTTCCTCTCGGGCAGCGTGCACAACAGCTCTAATTTTGAATTAGCTCATCAAAACTCTATAAATAGGGGGACTTCGGGATTAGTTGTTACTACACTTGGGAGACATCTTCTAGCATCATAAGAGCTTTTGTTCTTCATTCATATCATACTCTCTCATCCCATATCAGTCATAGAGTATTGAGCTTCAATCTATTCATATATACTCTAGTTGTGAGCTTTGATTTGCATATCAATCTTTGAGAAATATATTTGTATGCAACAAATTTGATATTCATTTGTAAGGGCTTGTGTGGCCCAAGGAAGCAGAAGCAAGCTAGCTTCAATTTGTAAGGGTTGGTGTGACCCAAAGGTAGACTAAGAGAGGTTGTCTCTTTGCAAAGTGAAGCAAGGAGTTGCTTCACGTAAAGGTTTGCTCTCCACCCGTAAGGAGGTGCCATAGTGGATTGGGAAGTCTCAAAAGGGGTCTTGAACCGAGGAGTAGGAGTTTCCAAACCTCGCTAAAAACGCCGTGTGAATGTTTACAATCTCTCTTCCCTTATCTTCTTTACATTTATGCTATTAATTGCTTATGTCCATATCTTGATTATTGCATAATTGTTAGAATGTGTTAAGTTGAATTTGCAAATCCGAAAATTGACCATTGTTTGCCATAGACTCTATTCACCCCCCCTCTAGAGTCAATACTTGGGCAACATTACCGTTTCAAATTTTCAGTACAAACCTATGAAAAAGCAGCCATTCTTCAAAAACTTTGTATCTTAAAGTGATCCTCACCCAAGAAACTTATTACCAGTTCCATGAGGAATTGGAAAAATGGCATGGAAAATTTGTAAACAAAGAACACTACCATAAAAGTAAATCCAAAATTCATAGACAATATAAATTCATATGTGGAACAGTGGAAGCAGTGCAAAGGTCACAGTCTGACATCTACAAACATTTTCTTAAGATAAATTACAAGTCATGTACGACTGAAGGTCAGGGTATATATCAAACCCTGAACTCTCCTCAAACTTCACCAGCTAGAATCCATTATCCTTTTTTTTTTGCTTTTCTGGAAAACTCCCCTTAGTCCTTTACCCTAATTCTTCTCAACAGAAGCGTCTTTGAATTTGCTAAATTGCTTTTTTTACTTGGGTAATTCAACAGAAAACATCCAACAATTTCTATCTTCCAAGTCTTACAATAGTTGCCAACATCTCAGCATAATTCTAATTACAATTAATCTGATGTCTTACCAGGTGTTTATCGATGTTACCACTCAATATGTTTAAATTATGATAATCGACTTAATAAATAAGTACTTGCTAACATAATTTTAGGGAACAAACGTGCAGCACATGTACAGATAAATGATTGTCCCCTCGTATATCCTCCTCAATTGCAATTATATAATTATATACCATTTTAGATAATTTACAAGGGACATGCAGAAGTAATAATTAGATTGAGCCAGGATGGTAATATACACAATATGCAACAGATTCAAGATATCAAGATAACACCTTGGGGCTGAGAAAATTAAGATAATTTTAAAAAAAAAAATTAGCTTTTTGAATCTATTGTTGACTAGAAAATGCATAAAGCAAAGAAGTAAAATTTATAAATATTTCCAATACAATATATATGTATATATAAGACAACAGGGAAACATTTTAAGATCAAAAATAATTACAGAGTTAATCTAGTCTAAGCAAACCATTTTTAGCTTCCAGAACAATTAAGGTAAAAAAAAAAGACGGTAAGAGAGAGAGAGAGAGAGAGAGATATTTTCTAGAATAAATATTGCAGATGCTAATGATCTATGAAAAGTTTCTGCCATGCATCAGTAAACTTGTGTTCCAAAAGTGATCTTCCCATAGAAGCTGTTGGAACACAAGTTAATCCAAATTTATGAAATATAAAGACTTACCAAAGAGAGCGGCCCATATTTACAGTGCGGATCTGTCCTTCTCGAGGTGAAATTTATTAAGAGGCATTTAATTGAAGCTCAGGTAGAGACTCATGGAGTTTCATCAACAACTCATTGCAAGAAATGCCTGATCCTTCAGAAGTTTCTTGGGAAAAACTTGGCAGAAGCTCCATTATGTTGAGATCTTCAGAGATATCACAAAGACATGTCAAGATTGTATAAGTTATTTCTGAGTCAAGAACGACATCCTTAGCGGCCATTTGATGGAGCAAATCAATGATTTCTTTTGTCTTACCATTTGAACAAAAGCCTTTTAGTAAAGAATCATATACCAAGGTATCCGGTGTGAAACCACAAGCAACCATACTCTCAAAAACACTTTTAGCCTCCTCTAATTGTCCTCGTTTCAGAAACCTATTTATTAATATGCAAAAGGTCAGACCATCAGGGGTCAGACCCCTATGAAGCATTTGTATGAGTAATTCTTTGGCAGATTGACTATCCCCTGCTTTAAGAGTTTCATCGATTATAATATTAAATGAGACGACATCTGGTTCACAGTTGGCATTCCTCATTTCCTGAAACAACCTCCTTGCTTGCTCCAAACTACCTTCCTTGCACAGGGCTGCCATCAATGTATTGTAGTCGAACAAGGTAGGACTAAAGCCATGAGTTCTCAATTGACTAAAAATGCCTTTTGCAATATTAACCAGACTCAATTTGCAGAATCCATTAATCATAACACCATAGGTAAATGAGTTTGGAACAAATCTCAATTCAAGTACCTGCTTCCAAAGCCCCATGGCCTTCTCAACATTCTCTGCATTTAGATAAGCCCCAATGAGAAGACTGTAAGTTAGAATATCACCATAGTTCCTGTTCTCAACCATCGTATGATGAATCCCTGCAGCCTCATCAACACGGCCTTCTTTGCAAAGCCCTTGAATTAGCACATTATATGTCACAACATCTGGCTTAACATACTTCTTTTCATTCAACATTGAATGAAAAAGAATCATTGCCTCGTCAACCTTCCCATTTTTACAAAGCCCCTTCACTAACGCATTGTAAGTAATAACATCAGGCCTCTTTCCCTTCTCCAGCATCATTCCCAAAATTTTAAAAGCATCCACCACCAATTCTTCTTTGCATAGTCCATGGATTAGAACATTGTATGTTATGATGTTTGGCTCTTCACCCTTTTCTAGCATCAAATGCAATAACTCCATAGCTTTTGTGGCCCTCCCATCTTTACAAAGTCCATCGATTAAAGCTGTATATGCAACAACATCAGGGTGGATCCCACGGTCTGTCATAGAATTTAACATTGCAGTGGCTTCTTTCCACTTACCCATATTACAAAGACCATGTATTATACTAGTATATATAACCACATTAGGAGAAATTCCTCTCCCCAAAATCTCAATTAAGAGTTCCTTCCCTCTATCAACATCCCCTTTACGGCAAAAACCATTTATGAGTGCACCATATGCAACAATATTGACATCCAAACCCTTCATCCTCATCTCTTTCAACAGAACCATCCCTTCATCCACTCTTCCCTCCTTACAAAGACCATGTATTAAAATAGTGTATGTGACCAAACTGGGACAACAATTTAACGCCTCCATCTCAACCCTCAAACTCAAAGCTTCTTCCAATTTCTTCGCCTTGCAAAGTCCATTCATAAGAGTGTTAAAACTAAGTGTATCAATTGGCACATAATTCCTATTCAACTGACGGAAAAACTCCATTGCCTTGACAACCTCATTATTTTGACATAAACCTTTCAATATAGTATTGGCAAGGTACATGTTAACACTATATCCTCGCTTTAATATCAACCCCACCACTGCAACTGCAAATTTGGGCTTACGAGCATCCACAAAACACTCAATGATAGCACTCAGTGAGAGAAAACCAGGCAAATTTTGAAAAAGGGTCATCCTGTTATAAACTTTGAGAGCCAATTCATACTCTTGGGACTTCACAAGGGCTTTGACAATGAAATTACAGGTCAGCCCAGAAGGGATGAGACCCGAATCGACAACTTTGTCAAAGAGCACAACCGCATCAAGGAATCGGGAGTTGGGTTTTTCGCAGAGGGATCTTATTTGGGTTTCTATATCATGTAGATGGTTGGTGGGACTGAAACTGGCAGGTAAATTGATGTGTGATATTGAAAAGAAGAAGTTGAGGAAGACACGATTTTGGGCGAGGAAAGGAAGGTGCAATTGGAAGCTATAGTCCAATAGTCGTCGTTTTATAATCATCTCAACTACCTATATAATTAGAGACTTAGATAGTCTATATATATATATATGCAAGAAGGAAATGGCGATGTGATAATTCTTACCTGCTGTTGTGGTGGCTGAGAAGCAGCAGGAGAGCGTGCTTGGAGGAGCTCTAATGGAAGACAGGCGATTGACTATATTATTTGCCTTGGGTTTGGGAGCTTAAAGGTAGGAAGGTAGAAGGCGACCCAAAGGAACAAATATCTGAATCTGAGTTGTAGAAAGGGGAAGCCTGCCAGTGCCGCCGCTGAGGTCTCTGGCCAAGCATCCTTATGCCAAACTCAGCTACTTACTTAGCCGTGAGATGGGAGACGGGTCGCAATTTATGCCCAGCCCCATTAAAATTAAATTATTTGGGCAGTCAAACTTAAGTGTGTTGGGTCAATAATGGATAAAAACCGAGTACCCATTTAAACCAAAGACCTGGCCCTGGGTAAAAAAAAAAAAAAACAAAAATTTGTTATTCAACCATTATACTAGTAATAATATTAGTGTATGTGTTATATTATTATTAACATTAATATTTTATGTTTTTATCTCTAGCTATTCTTATTTTTATTTTTTCTCCTAGTATTATTAATATGTTATATATATATATAATTGTGTGAAGTCTCTAAATGGATTAAGTAATTCATGATGTCACCTTTTTGCGTGAAGAACAAGGCCACATTTGTGGCTCATAAGGGAAGCTAAAATATGAGCCTGTATAAGGCCATGTGTATGTACTACTTTGAGACATATTTGAATGAAAAGCCATTTTCATCTCTCTCTTTCATTCTCTCTCTCTATCTGAAAGTTATTTTTATTTCTCTCATTGAATATTACTATATATATATATATATATATTTACACATATATTTATTATACGTTATCAGTACGAGCTTTATCCATCTCAAATTTGAAGAAAAAGCGCTCTCTCTCTCTTTCTATCTCAACTATATATCTATTTTGTGATATTAGTTTTGATAAATTGTTGGGTTTGTTTGCTTTATCGAAGAACATTGTATTTCTGACTCCAAAAGGTAAGAAAATTTTAATTATTGATTATTGTTCATAAAATAAATTTGTTCACTTAAATGATATATGTGTTCATATTATGGTCGGTTCTACCACCTTTATTATTTAATGATTTACTAATTATGGTCGGTTTTACAACATTTATTATTTAATGATTTATGACCGGTTTTACCGCCTTTATTGTTTAATAATTTATTCAGGCTTTACCACCTTTGTTATTTAAATAATTCATATTATGTTATTGTTTCACTTAATGCCATTTTATTTATTTATATACTATGCTAAATTATATTTTTATTGCTGTCACATCTAGTTCTTCTGAAAATGTCAAACTTGACAAAGCTGGAATTTGTGGCCTTGGACATTTCTGGCAAAAATTATTTATCTTGGATTCTAGATGCTCGGATCCATTTAGATGTCATTGGCCTCGAAAACACAATTAAAGAAGAGAATGATGCATCATTACAAGATAAAGTGAAGGCCATGATTTTCCTTCAGCGCCATATTAGTGAGAAGTTAAAAACTGAATACCTCACTAAAAGAGATCCACTGTGTTTGTGAAATTTTTTGAAAGAAAGATATGATCATCAAAAAACTGTTATCCTTCCAAAGGCTCGGGCTGATTGGCAACAACTGCGGTTGCAAGATTTTAAAACTGTGGCTGAATATAACTCTACCCTATTTAAAATTAGCTCTACATTGAAATTGTGTGGTGATACCATCACTGATGAACTTTTGTTGGAAAAAATATTCACCACATTTCACGCCTCGAATGTGCTCTTACAATAACAATATCGAAAGCGTAGATTTGAAAAATATTTAGAGCTGATATCATATTTACTTGTGGTAAAGCAAAATAACGAGCTTTTGTTAATAAACCACTAGTCTCGTCCAACTGGATCGACACCGATCCCTGAAACATATGTTGCCTCATTCTGTGGTCGTGGTGGTAAAAATGGCTATAATAATGAATATGGTCGTGGTAAAAATAACTACCATAATAATGAATATGGTCGTGGTAGAAATCACTTCTATTACCGTTAAGGATATCAATCCTCAAATTTTCGCAATCAGAGATCCACACCATATCCTCAAAGAAGAGATTATAATGAAATGAAACAAGTATAAGGGAAGGATATGGCTCAACCTCTCAAGGCACATGATAATACTTGTTATCGGTGTGGAATGACATGGCATTGGCAAAGCATTTGTCGTACACCTAAGAATCTGGTTGAACTTTACCAAGCCTTAATGAAATAAAAGGGGAAACAAAAAGAAATGAATTTCATTGATCATGATGAACCAGTTAACATTACAAATCTGGATGTATCAAATTTTTTTGAGGACTGTGATGGAAAGATAGACTTCCTGATTGGTTATGGAAATGTCCACACCAATTAATCCTATTTTCATTTCATGTTCTATCTATTATGTTATCTTCAACAAGTTTTTATTTTCCTTGTATTAAAGTTTTTATTTTCTAGTTTGTATTAAAGTTTCTTTTGTTATAAAAGTTTCTTTTCTGATAAAGAAATTTGCATGAATAGGAATAGATCTGACTAGTTCCAAAATAAATGGTGAAGATATATGTCTTGCAGATAGTGGAACGACACACACAATCCTCCGAGATCAAAAATATTTTTTTTCTCACCTAACTCTGACAGACGCTAGTGTCAATACAATATCAGATCCCACCTAATAAATTAAAGGCTCCGGACGAGCTAACATCATTTTACCATATGGAATAAGATTGCAAATCAATGATGCATTATATTTTACAAGATCTCGGAGAAATCTGTTGAGTTTTAAAGACTTGCGTCGTAATGGATATCATATTAAGACCGCAAATGAAAGAAATGTGGAATATCTCTACATTACTTCATTACCTCATGCAAGAAGCCGATACTATAAAAACTCCATATTTTCTCTTCCGGGTTATACTATACAACCATTAGGACAATTGAGTCAAATGTTGTGATACATAAAAAATCTTGTGACCCAAAACTTTTTATGTTTTGGCATGATCGACTTGGTCACCCGGTGTGTACAATGATGCGACGAATTATTGAAAATTCACATGGACACTCACTAAAGGATCAAAAAATCATCTGTGGACCATTTCGCTATTTTATGGTCTTAATTGATTCCTCAACAGAATGGTCACATGTTTGTCTATTTTCTACTCGTAATGTTGCATTTGCTAAACTTCTTACTCAAATCATCAAATTACGAGCACACTTTCCTGATTACTCAATTAAGACAATCCGTCTTGATAATGCCGCTGAATTTTCTTTTCAAACTTTTGACGATTATTACATGTCAGTTGGAATTAATGTTGGACATCCTGTTGCACACACTCATACTCAAAATGGTATGGCCGAATCTTTTATTAAAAGACTTCAGTTAATTGGTCGTCCTTTACTTATGCAAACAAAATTACCTATTTCTGCCTAGGGACATGCCATATTACATGCTGCATCATTAGTTCGTATACGACCAACTGCTTATCATAAGTACTCATCATTGCAACTTATTTTTTTGTCAGCAATCAAATATCTCTCACATACGAGTTTTTGGTTGTGCTGTATATGTTCCAATTGCACCACCCCAACGCACTAAAATGGGTCCTCAACGTAGACTTGGAATTTATATTGGTTTTAATTCTCCATTTATTATTACATATCTTGAACCTCTGACAGGTGATGTCTTTAAAGCACGATTTGCTGGCTGTCATTTTGATAAGACGTTTTCCCACCATTAGGGGGTGAAAAGGCACAACAGCAACATGATATTACTTGGAATGCCCTGGAATTGTCTCATTTTGATCCTCGCACAAATCAATGTGAACGAGAAGTTCAGAGGATCATTCACTTGCAAAATGCTGCAAATCAATTACCTGGTGCATTTACTAATACAAAGAAAGTAATAAAATCACATATACCAGCTGCAAATGTTCCAGCATGAATTGCTGTCCCTGAGGGACCTTCTGTCAGTAATGTAGCAAATGCATCTAAAACACGCCTGAAACGTGGTAGACCAGTCGATGCAAAAGATATTGTTCCTCTTAAGAGGAAATCACAAAGAAAAGCTGGCATTCCTGAAAAGGCCACAAAGGAGAAACAAATATTATTGATCAATCTGAGATAATAGCCTTTGATAAGGCAGAGGCTCTTGATGAGTCTTAAGTACCTAAAAATGATGAAATAATAAATATTGATGAGGCAAAGGTAACAGATGATGGTATAGCCCTTGATGAGGCAAAGATACCTGAAAATGATGAGATCTCACTAAATTATGAAACGAGATGGAATAGAAATGAAATTGTTATCGACAACATATTCTTATATGTCATTGCTCTTGATATTAATAATGAGGATCTGGAACTGATCGGGTCGGTTGACAATCTCAATAATAATCAACCCTTTGGAATAGCACAAATCATTGTAAAATATGGTTATTGGACGGGTAAGTCGAACAATTAGGATTGCTAGTTTATGGCAACCAAGATTGTAAAATCACTTTTAGTTTGATGAAAGAGGTGTAAGGTTTTTGTTTGGTTTGTCACTTGGTACTTGGAATTAAAGATTGCATAAAACAATAAATGCAAGGAATTTAAAGAGGAAAGAAACTTAAGTAGAGAGGACTAGGGAAGTGAATCCATTACCAACCCTATATACATGCTAGATTATGATTAATTTGGGGAAACAACATCTATAAGTAGTCATGATATGTAGCAACTCATAGTTGCTACATTATCTTCAAGAAATTCATTAAATCAAAAGGCAAGAATAACCTATCAAAGTTTCACATGCTTGAACTACCTAAACTAGGGTGTAGCCTTAGACATGCTCACTAAGCTAGAGATTATCAAGCCCCTAATCAAATGATAAAAGCACATGAAGTCAAGAGTCAAGATTAATCCATCAAAGGGAGGCCCTAAGCTATGGACTAACAAGTTTCTCATAAAACATGCCATTAAAACCATTTCACAATCTCATTTCCATTATCACTATGAAAATGCAAGTCATATAACCATGAGAACATATAATCTAAGACAAGATAATAGATTCAACATAATCATTTATAGAAATTAATATCCATTACAACATGTAAAGTGCTTTAGATTATGAAATAACCACATATATACATCATTTCCCAAATTTAACCCAAAACTAAGGCATGCTTACAAGGAAGGGCTTCATCACCTCCCTAGAAAATGAGTTAGTTACCCATGGATGTAGAGGAGGAAGGAGAAGAGATGGCCACACCTTCCATTTTTGCACCTGGAGGCCAAGAACAA